AGCAAGGGGTTCAGTCCAAAGCAAGAAAAACAAAGTTCCCTTTCTCCATATGAGCGTGAATCATTGCCTAAGCCTTCCAGCTCAACTGATGAACAACTGAGGCAAGAGATTTACAAATATGAGAAACTCCCACAGCTATGGACCTGAGAGCAACCTTCACTTCAAATGGGACCAAGCAGCTAAAGGACTTGCATTTTTAATTCAACATTTAAACTCAGAATCCCTATGATCCATTCACTCTAAGTTGGCATAACATGCAGAGCGATGATGCTCTGGGTTCAGCAAGTGCCAAAAACAACTAGTAGAAATCTAAGAGAATTAAAAAGGGGGTGGGCTGATATTCAGAACTGGTTTTGCACAGTATTGCCACACGGTCCTGTAGTGCTGTCATTGGAAACATCTATCAAATATAATGCAGTTCCAGTGTTTGAGCACTAGAGGGTCAATTTGTGATGAAAACAGAGCCTTACCTCAGTTTCCTTATTTTTATAGGTAAGCATTTAACCTCTCACTTACCACCTCTGCAGCTGTCGTGAGTTCTGCTGCCAAAGCTCTCTCTGAGGCCGTGCAGCACTGGGATGGCGGAGGTACGTCACACAAACGCAAACTTTTTTGCGACAGTACCCTCAATAATTTTAAACTACGCACGTCACGCCAAACCCACGATTGCTTTCGCTGGTCAGCCGCAGGGTGCACACCTTTTCAACAGGATCACCATGTTGGTCTGGAAGTTGTCTCTTGTGACTGGGAGTGGCAAAAGACTGGTGAGGTACTAGCCCATAGCCCATTTTTAAAAATACTCATCCTGTACACATACAGCAGCTTCTTCTCATGCCTAATTATCATCCCTCTGAATAATTAAAAAAAAAAAAAAGCAAATACTGTCCATTTAAATGAAAGGGATCCTCAGCACCACCTGTAATTGTACTCGTGCCCAACAAGAAGCACTGGGATGGCAGCAGAAGGGTGGGCATCACCCAAAGGGCAGAATTCAGCCCCACTAGATTGCAGCCTTGCCACTCAACTGAAAAAAAACCAATGCTTCTCCAAGTATATCCATGCACCAGAAATTTGGGGCATTACTGTATGAACAAACCAGAAATCCTTCTCCTTCCCAATAGGATTTGTTATGGAAACAGCATATAATTTCATTCCAATACCACAAATTTGCCACTACATTAGAGAGCATTACTTTTAGTGAAGGATGAACGGTAAATCAGCATCCATCCCCAGCTCTCCAGGCTACAGCCCTCTTCAGGGGAACGGTGCTTCTGAGTGCCCCTTCCTTTCAGCCTACAAATATAACCCATGACAGAAGGCAAAGCTGTTGACTAGGGAATGCCTTAACAAGTACTTCTAGCCCAACAAACTTTGTTATACCACAGTTTTGTCCTTATATTAGACTTCCTGTCAGGGATCAGAGAACTGGCCAACACTGCTTCTTTGTATACAGTGATACTTTTCTCTGGTAAACATGATACATCAATTATACAGACTGTGTTGCAAAAAATCCTGTTTAAATTCCCTGGAACAGTGGATAGATTTGTTTCTAACAGTGAGGTAGAACATCCGTGATGGCTGCAGTATACCCCTGCAAAAGACACCTTTGTATCATATTAATAAAGAGCCTCAAATACCATTATGTGTTGAGAAATAAAAGTATAAAAAGGTAGGCAAGTCATCCAGACAGCACCGCAGCCCTCAGTGATGACTGTGACCTTTGCAAATTCCTGCCCTCTGAAAGCTCACAAAAATTAGCAAACAAAAAACATGGGGTTGCTCTTTTAAATGTGGGTTGTTTTTTTTTTAAATGATCACATTGTGCTCTCTAGTATATTTATTAAAGTAACCAAGACTGAACACGGAGCTTCAGCGCTGCAATCTGTGAAAAAAATCCCAAAGAACTGAAGGGGATCTGTATGTGCTGCAAATCCTGAACTGCAAATATTAACAACCCTTTACTTCATGTAGAAACGACAATCCCATAACTCATCTTTGAAAAGTATTTTTTAAAAATTGGTCCTCCCACCCCTACCATAAATTCAAAGTCTCTATTACAAGTAAAAGTGCTCTCCCATGCATAAATAAATCACATACATTCAGCTGCAAGAAAACCGATCAGTCAGAACAGCTCAAATGTAATTATACACCGACCAAAAAGAATTCCACTGCAGCTGAAATTGAATGGCTTGTACTCCAGGTCATTAGCTGAGTGCTGCCCAGTACAATTTTAAATGCTAAAATATCCCCCCAAAAAGGGTTGAGAAAAATGTGTGAAATATCTCAGAAAGCAGGAACTATGTTTATGTAAAACAAATTAAAAAATAACGAAAAAAACCCTGCCCTCTAGTCTCACCTCATCAGCAAAATTTTGTGAAGCTTCCCTTACTTCTCTATGGCTGTTCATGCATCACGATTTGAAAAAAAGTAAACGAGCCAAGAATCATATATCTCTGCCTCCAGACCTACAGAATGAAATGCTGTACTGGCTTCTAACACTGGAAATCAGAAATCGAGTCTCATAATTAGCCAGTCTCCCCTAACAAACCCATGCTTACAGAATGGCACTTCGAACAATGAATGAAGAAAAAAAAAAAAAAAGAAAAAAAAGGATGTGTTGTGTTGAAAGGTTTAAGAATGCGCGTACTTTCCATAAAGCTGAAAGGCTTCCATGAACATATCGTTTAGCTCTGGATTTACCAAACATTCCTAATTCAGGAAAACAAAACTATTTTACTCGTTAGAGTATTCTGACAATATTGCAACGTGGTCTGAGTGTCATTTTGAGCAATGAGAAAATCTTTTTTTTTAGTAGGAAAGGGGGAAGAAAGGCTAAGTTGAGAGAACCCTTTTCTTTAACAAAAAAAAAAAAAAAAAAAAAAAAAAACAGGGGGTTTCCTCCTCTGCCATATAGCAGATCTCTTCTTGGATTTCACACCACCGACCATACCCTGTCAGAGATCTTGAACAGTTTACATTACTTCTTTTGAAGGATTAATCTAGACCGGCCCAGAGATAAAAACCAAAATGCACAATGAATTCCTACACTGAATTCCAGCTTGTTACTGTGAACTCAACATAAAGAAAAGAAAAAAGGAACCCCACACATCTTGTAGCATATACACTGCTTTCACACAGTATTTGAGTTAGTCAAGAGGAATACGTAAAGGGACAAGATAGTTTTGTACAAAACCTCAATTTATTTCAGAGAAATTAAAAATATGGTATTTAATATATATAAATTTCTATTCCTCTATAAATATAGATGATCTTGTGATAATGAACAGAAATAAATGCATACCAAATTCAAATAATTTTGCATTTCAGGGTATGGTAGCCATAGATAATGTTTATGAACCTAAATACAGGCATTTGTAATATAAAAAAAAAGTTTAAAACGATACAATTAGGAGAGAAGCATTCTGCTGTTTTTCATACAGAGGACTAAATATTCAAATGCATCTGTCGAAAGTTACAATTTCATTTTTAACCTTTTTTTTTTTTTTTTGTGTATTCAGAAGCACGATCCCACACACCCAGGAGCACACAAGGTAGTAGATATACTGCACACATGGTATCTTATCTTTGCAGTATGCGATGTTATTACTGTACCGAGGGAAAAAAAAAAGGGGAGGAAAAAAAAAAGACAGCAGAGGCTCTTTAAGGTCTCACATCCCACCAGAGTGCTTAAACATTCTGGTTTTCTGTTTTCCCTTCCTTTGTTTTTACTACTGGCAAAAATCATCACGCCCTCATAATGTGTAATGAATTAAAATGTCAATGAATTAAAAATGCAGGGGAATGGCAATGGCTCCAACGTCTCCCAAATGAAGAGCCAGCTTATGGATATAATTAAGTAAAAAAAAAAAACCAAAACCAAACCCAAAAACACAACACAAAAAACCCCTGAATGCTGCGTTTTATTCCGATGAAGCTCTTTTTTTACCCAAGCCCGTGTTTTCTTATCCCGCTACCCCCAGCCCCCGCCGGCTGGGCAGGGAGGGGAGCAGGGCGGGGGGCCTCGGAGACCCCCGG